AAATGCTTTATCTAACATCATGATATTCCACGCAGTTTTGCTATTTATCAAGGACTTCATCTCATGTCAAAATAGTGTTGCTCATGGAGTTCATTGGCCCTACCACACACCCCATGACTCTGAATAGCTGGCCTGGTAAGATAGTGGATTAGACTTATGAAGCCAAAGCACCAGATAGGTGATAATACTTTCCAGAATATGAATACATTTGTGTGTATGTATACATATTTTAAGCGAGTGTTATTGCTTTCATTCCCTTCTTACTAATTTATCATGTATTATAAGATTTATTGACTTTACATCAGTACTTAACTATTGTTAATTTTACAACATAATATTTACATTGTGGGATATTAAGAGAAAATAAGCATCGCCCAAGACTTTACCTTCTCTTCGAATGGTTTTTCAATTGTACCGGGATACTTGTAATGTGTTAAGTTACAACTATCACCTTGTGATGGCCTTTATTTTCAGATGAAATATGGTTTAATGAGATAAGTGTATGTGCCAAGTTGACAAAGGACGAACTTGGTTAATTTTAGGTGTAAACTTGAGTGATTTCATGGATACCCAGATAGCTGTTGAAGCATTAGTTATTCTGAATGTTCAGTAGGCACCAAGCCTATCTCTTCTGCTGAGAGAGAAAAGGTGGCTTTGCATCAGTAGAATGATTGGCCTGCCTCAGGGCTCTCTGAGGATGCTTCCAGAGACAACTCACCTGTGTGTTAGTGGATTGACTGGGAAAGTGGACACCAATGGCCGGGGGTTCCAATAGAGCAAAAAGAAGAGGAAAGGTAAATTATGTTCTCTCTTTGAGCCAGGAGACTCTCCTCATGGAAACCAAAACTCCAGACTCTAGGCTTTCAACTTCAAGGCCTGTACTAATGAGTGTCCCCTCTGGTTCTTAGGCCTCACACCTTAGACTCGGGAATATTTATATCTGCAGCTTCTCTGGCCCTGCCACTTTTGGCTTGGACGGAGCCACAGGGTCCCCAGCCGGCAGATGGCCTCCCATGGAACTTCTCACTCTCAGTATCCATATGAGCCAACTCCCCTAATAGTTACACCTATTGGGTCTCTCTGCAGAGCCCTAGTCCATGAGGTAAGGAACCCATCACTTGAAGAGCAGTGCTTTGAAGCTGCAGGTCCCAAGATTTGTGAAGGGAATTTCTCCTGTGCTTTAGAACGCCTGGGGAAATTGGAGACAGTTTTCCTTCAGGAGTTATTTATGACAATTATGAGGAAAGAGTCTATCTACAGTTATCACAAACATTAAGAAAAAAGGGTGGGTCCTCCCAGGGACTAGATGCAAATGTCTTACCTTCTGATAAAAAAAAAAAGGGACTAAGGAAGTATAAAAGAGTGTTGTGGGTGGGAAGATGTTGGCAACACCAAGGCTCCTGCAGAGGTTGAGACAATCCCTTGGGAAGACCACCAAGAGAGGCTAGCCAGGAGGTAAGACAGCATCTCCTTCTCCCCAGTGGCTTGATACATAAGTAACCCAGACTGAGGATCAAGGGTGGAAAAATCCATAGCACAGCTGCCCACTGCTCAAATCCAGAAAGGGGATAATCCCCTCCTCTAAGACGGTGAGCTGGATAAGCCTTCCTCTGTGACTTCAGAAGACTTAGATGAGCTACCAGGGCCTATTGATTTTGTCTGTTTTCTTCCATCTGCCCCTCTGTTAACACCTATGGCATTGATTTCGACCATTTTTACAACAGCAAAAAATACAGCAGAATTTCTAGCATCTCTTGATTTTAAATGGTTTTTCTTACATTGAGACATGATTACAATAAATGTCATTTTGTATTTAGGAAATATAGCAATTATAATTGTAGTATAAATATTGCCATGTGTCATAGCTATTTCTGTATTTATCTTAGCTTCTCTGGTAGAACGAGATCTTATTCCTCATGATATACTGCTTTGTGTCCCGTAACTACTTTACCTGGTGATTGTTTAATATATATGGATTGGTTGAAATGAAATGAGGGTAAACAAGAACCAGTAAAATAAAACGGGAGAACTATATCAAATCAGGTAGGGAGCCCTCTAAAAAATAGGCCAGGGGCTGACACAGCACAACAGGCTAAGCCACTACCTGCTACACCAGCATCCGATACTGGAGTGCCAGTTGGAGTCCTGGATGCTACACTTGCAGTCCACCTCCCTGCTAATGCACCCGGGAAAGCAGTGGAGGATGGCCCAAGTCCTTGGGCCTTGCACCCGCCTGGGAGACCAGGAGAAGCACCTGGCTCCTGCCATCGGATCAGCGCAGTGTGCTGGCCACAGCACGCAGGCCGCGGAGGCCATTGGGGGGTTGAACCAACGGCAAAAGGAAGACCTTTCTCTCTGTCTCTCTCTCTCTCACTGTCCACTCTGCCTGTCAAAAAAAAAAAAAAAAAAAAAAAAAAAAAAGGATAGAAGTAGCAACTCTTACAGTCATAAGAAGCTTTTGAAGAATAATAAAATGTCTGTCTTCATAATGGTGGATATGTGGAAAATATAAAATGCTCAAGAGTAAACTATATAGGCTGGCTCTGCGGCTCAATAGGCTAATCCTTCGCCTTACGGCGCCGGCACACTGGATTCTAGTCCCGGTCGGGGCGCCAGATTCTGTCCCGGTTGCCACTCTTCCAGGCCAGCTCTCTGCTGTGGCCCGGGAGTGCAGTGGAGGATGGCCCAAGTGCTTGGGCCCTGCACCCCATGGGAGACCAGGAGAAGCACCTGGCTCCTGCCTTCGGATCAGCGCGGTGCGCCAGCCGCAGCGCGCCGGCCGCAGCGGCCATTGGAGGGTGAACCAACGGCAAAGGAAGACCTTTCTGTCTCTCTCTCTCACTGTCCACTCTGCCTGTCAAAAAAAAAAAAAAAAAAAGAGTAAACTATATAATGGAAAATTCTACAGTTTTAAAATGTATTAATTCAGTTCACAAATATTTCTTGAGAACTTCCATGAATATTGACATATGTTTTCAAAATTATTAGATGAAAAAGTAAGTAACATATTATAAATAAATAATACATATGGAGAAACAGAGAAAAAGAGAGATGAAGTCCAAAACTCTGACTACATATACTGTGTAATTTCTGGGTTAATGAATAAGAAATGTTTATATTTTCTTTTAATTTCTTATTTTATGATTTTTTAAATAGTGAGCATGCATTAATTGTAGGTTAGAAATAAATAATAATGAAAAAGACTCCTAGGCCCATGGTAACAATTCATAAACTAAAATAACTGTGAGTACATGATGTTCTAGATACTAAGTGGATATGAAATTTAAGATAGCGTGAGTTTGTGTCACAAGATTAAAGATATATAGCAGAAAATGGTCATTAAAACATAGCATTGATGTTATTAGACAAAATACAAGGTCTCCCCATTTTGACTGGATTGGGAAATGTGAGTTAACCTTACAATTAGGATATTCTTCCCCCTCAAGCCTAGATGTTTGAAGTTGCCTGAGAGAATGAATTCTTTAGAAACTTCACCAAAAAAGATGCATTTAGATGGCAGATGGCAATGACAAAGTCCATCTGATTCAATTTTGTAGAATTTTTTTTACTTACAGATCACAGCTTCTATTTTGACTTTGGATTAAGAACCTATTAAGAACATCCCTAGGCACATTATGGCAACTCTAAGCATTTTTTAGTTATTAGTAAACAGATTCTATGAGTTGCTTTTATTATATAACTATTTTAAAATCAAATTTAGTAGAGTTTGTGGAAAATCTGGGATATTTCTGCAATGGGAGTTTTTAATCAGGACCAGGTGTTTAGCCTAACAGCTAGGCTGCCTGCGTCCCCAGAGTCCCTGAGTTTCACACCCAGCTCCAGCACCAAGTTTTTTTTTGTTTTTGTTTTTTTTGTTTTGTTTTGTTTTTTGACAGGCAGAGTGGACAGTGAGAGAGAGAGAGACAGAGAGAAAGGTCTTCCTTTTCCGTTGGTTCACCCCCCAAATGGCCGCTGCGGGGGCAGCGCACCACGCTGATCCGAAGCCAGGAGCCAGGTGCTTCTCCTGATCTCCCATGGGGTGCAGGGCCCAAGCACTTGGGCCATCCTCCACTGCCTTCCCGGGCCACAGCAGAGAGCTGGACTGGAAGGGGGGCAACCGGGACAGAACCTGGCGCCCCGACCGGGACTAGAACCCAGTGTGCCAGCGCCGCAGGCGGAGGATGAGCCTATGGAGCCACGGCGCTGGCCTGGGCCAAGCTTTCTGCTAAGAGACTCTGGAAGGCAGTGGTAATGGCTGAAGTAACTGGATTCCTGCCAGCCCAGTGGAAGACGGAGGCTGAGTTCCTTTGTAGATCTACGAAGTGAATCAACACAAGAGCGCGCTCTCTCTCTCTCTCTCTCTTCATCAATCTGCCCCATAATAATTTTTAAAAGTTTTCAATCAGCTGAAAATTCATGCAAATTTTATTTTGACTGAATTTAGCAAATCTTCCATGTTTCTAATAAAAAGACCAAAGATCTGGTTCATGTGAATATGATTGTCCCTTGGTATTCATGAGGGGTTGATTCTAGGATCCCTGAAGATATGAGACCCATAGATGATCAAGTCCCTTATAGAACATGGAATAGTATTTGCATATAACTTTTGCACATTTTCCTGTATACTTTAAATCACCGCTAGATTGTTTACAATACCTAACACAATGTAAGTGCTATGTAAATAGTTGTTAAATTGTATCAGTTAGGGAACAATGATAAAAAGAAATATCTTTGTCTATGTTCAGTACAGAAGTGGATGAATTTATATATATTCCATCCATGCTTGGCTGAAGTCATGGATGCAGAAGATGCAGATACAGAGGGCTGATGTCCCAAGTTAAGCTAATATAAACTGTGCTAGAAACAAGCAAACTTTATCAAAAGTTTTAGCATTGTGACAATAATGCTAAAATGGGGGGATGGAACACTGATGTGGCAATAAATTTTCATTTTCTTTGTCAAAAAAAAAACAGCAAGAACTCTTCTTTTTTCAAGACATCATGAAAGTAAAAAAAATTGCAGTGATTGGTGCTGGGGTCAGTGGATTAGGTGCCATTAAGAGCTGCCTGGAAGAAGGGCTAGAACCTGTGTGTTTTGAAAAAACCAATGACATTGGAGGACTATGGAGATACAAGGTAATTTTATAAGCATTCTCATAAAGTTGACACATCTGAATGTGGTAGACATGCTTTCTTTCTAACTGAGCAATGACATACAAGTTATTTCTGCTTTAAGTGTTCTTTCTAAAGTAGTAATATCTTACATCCACATGAACTTGAAATTTTTCAAAGTACTTGTGCATTTCCATGACATTCCCACTTTGAATACCTGGGTATCAGTATGCAAACTGCACAATAAAAAGGTTGAAACTCAGAACGTTTGTACAGCTATTTCTGCCTCTAGTGGACCTGGCAACAGGACCTAAGAGCCCCTATACCTTGGTTCTTGCAGTCCCCTTTATAGTGTAAGATGCCCCTTTGTGCTGCTTTGTGTTTATCAGATATTGAAACAACTGTCCCTGACAAGAAAGGTGTGTTTGGCCATTGCTTATATCTTATATCACTGAAAGATGAACATTTCCAGAAACAGAAGGAAGTAGGTGTAGCCTTAAAAATGTGACTTAGTGAAATACGATGCATCATTTTTATGTATTAAAAAGCAACCACTTTGCTCTTAAAATTCATCACGTTTACCTACCTTTATTGGTTTTTAACTCTCAATATACTAAAATATACCATATTTGCATGATTTTTTCTCCCAAATCCTGTAATCTGTTCTTCCAGATCCTTCTCTTAATACAAATTACTTTCAGCTTGATCTCTATTTTATCCTTTGGGAAGTTCTTTTCCCAATCTCTTTTTTGTTTTACTTTTGTTTCTTCTGGCTTTGTTGGTTATGTTGTGTTTTTACTATCCAAAATCTTCTTTTCTGATATGCTAGGTTACTGTATCATTTGGGGTCTGCTTCTGACCTACTAACAGGTCCTTTCAAAATAAAGTGAATCTGGGGGAAGGCATTTGGGCTAACAGTTAAGACGCCTGCACGCCACATTGGAGTACCTGCATTTCCTGTACACGTACACGTCCCACTTTAGAATGCCTGGGTTGGATACCCAGCTCTGCTTCTGAATAGTTTCTTATTAATGTCAACCATGGGAGTATCAGTATTGGCTCAAGGAATTAGGTTCCTGCCACCCATGTGGGAGACCTGAATAGAGTTCCTGACTCCTGACTTCAGTTTGGTCCAAGAAATGTTGTAGCCATTTAGGGGATGAACTAACAGATAGGACTCTCTCTCTCTCTCTCTCTCTCTCTCTCCCTGTTCCCCCCCCTTCTCTCAGGTAAGTCTCTCCCTCTCTCTTTCTCTCTCTCTCTCTCTCTCTCTCTCTCCCTCTCAAATGAATAAATTTTTTTTAAAAAAAAGGGAAATGAGTCCAATTCCTCCAACCACTTGGGCAATAGCATACACAGTTGGTAATCAATACATTTTTTCAAAGAAAGATAAATCCAACACCACATGTCTGATCACACCCAATACATTCTTCACTGTGTTTCTGAATCCTGGAAGCCATTGGTTTGTTTGTTCCTACAGCACATAACAGAAAACGGAAATCCTGGGATATACAAGTCCTTGACCTGCAACACTTCCAAAGAGATGACAGCCTTCAGTGACTACCCTTTCCCTGACCACTATCCCAATTATCTGCACAATTCCAAACTGATGGAGTATCTCAGAATGTATGCCAGCCACTTTCATCTTATGGAACACATCCAGTTCCTGGTAAGAAATTAAAACCCTGCTTCTTACCTGAAGGGTAGTCAAGACACAGCCTGTGCAAGCCAGAGCAAGCTACAGAACATTTGCAAGTTGGATTTTTTTTTATCAAAATCCTGAATGAAATAGCATGTCTCCCATAATTCTCAAGATTAATGAAGGATTGTTTATTACTTTCCCCCCAGAGGAAAAATATCATCTTATGGTTGGAACATGAAATTTAGCTTTCAATTAATTTTATTAACACTTGAATATAGATTGTAGGGGAAACATTGGTGTATTTTATTTCCCCCAAATACCCTGATCTCTGGGAAGGGACAGTTTTATGGAGTTTATGTTCATGAAACTCCTAAAAGATCTAGGGGTTATGAATACAGAAGGTATCACCTGTTTTACTTGTCAAAACACAAAATTCTAATGGAGACTGAGAAGAATGCTATAAAGCTAAGGCTAACTTTGGTTTTTTTTTCCCCAGTCAAAGGTGTGCAGTGTGAAGAGGCACCCTGATTTTTCATCCTCTGGCAAGTGGGATGTTGTGGTAGAAACCAATGGGGAGCAGAAAACCTATGCCTTTGATGGGATCATGATTTGCAGTGGCCATTACACTGAACAATATTTGCCCTTAAGTGATTTTCCAGGTATTTAACTGATTAGTGGGTAAGAAAAATCTTTGCATTGTAATCATCGTAAGTCTGCACTGCACACATGAAGGTGCAAAAGAGGATGTGGTAACTTTCTGGAACAGAAATAGATAATAGAAGTAACACTTGAGCTGAACACTAAGAGTTTCTTAAGTAAACCAAGGTCTGAGGGAGAGGAAGCAGTATAGATGTGAAAAGCAGTAGGGTGTGAAATAGTCAGGAGAGCTCAGAGAATGGCACACACTTGAAGTGGCTGGAGCAGGTGACTGCTCAGGGGAGGTAGATAAGAATCAATGAAAGAACTCTAAAGAGCATAATATGTGCATATTGTGTTTGCAGTGAGAAAGGAGGGCAGGCACGTGATTCTATTTTTATTTTATAAAGATAAATCTTTATATTTAATCTTTTTATGTATAATCTATATATGCAGTGGTGTGAAAGATTAATTGATAAAAGGAGAGAAAGCAAAGCCATATGATTGATAAGAGGGGGGCATTAATAATCCATGAAAGGGGGGGGAAGCCATTTTAATCCATAAGCTGTACTTTGGAAATTTATATTCATTAAATAAAAGTTTAAAAAAAAGAAATAAAGCTTGAACAAGCCAAAAAAAATCCATGAGAGAGATGATGAGGAGGCTTTAATAAAGCGAAGTAAGCAGGACTCAATGGAGGACAAACATTCAGGAGATATTTTGGAGACCATTGAAAGACTCAATGAATGATAGAACATGCCAAAAATAATTTTAGGCTGTGTGCCAACATTCCATATTTTTGAATGTAATTAAATTTCTCTTCAAGATACTTTGAAACTTGTAATACTCTGTACTTAGCACTGTTCTATAAAGTAGCCACTAGCCTGATATTACTATTTAACCCTTGGAATGTGGCTAACATGAATTGACATGTACTTTCATTATGAAATACAAATCAAATTTTGAAGACATGATAAAAATATATAAAATATTTAATTAATACCCTAGTGTATTGGTTATATATGTTAACATCTTAAATTATGTTGGGTTAAATAAAATACATCATTAAAATCAATATCTTTTTAAACTTCTTTCATGTTCCTACTATAAAATTTAAAAGAACGTATGTGCCTTGAATGATATTTCTTTTGGACAGCATTGCTTTGTTTTTTTCTAAGTATCTCCATTGACAGAGTCACAAAAATAAAAGAACAGGTCCTCATATATTAGTAGATTATAAGAAAAGGACAATAACCTCCTAAAATTCCAAGAGTCATCATACTGAGCAAATTATAATTGCTTTTAAAAAGGAAACATCAGTATGTTCTTACTTTGGCCTCAGCCATATTGTCATTGCCACTGAATATTTTTTTCCTTGGATAAACTCATTACTGGCAGCAACTGACCAACAAAAAAGAAAGGGGACTTAAGTAACATACACTTAAAGTTTAGAAATGAATCTTGCAAAACAGCCTGCTTCATGTCTATTTGTGATTTGAGGGATTGTACTCTTCTCTCCTAGGGATCAAGAATTTCAGAGGTGACTATCTCCACACTTGGGCATACAAGAATCCAGACAGTTTTTCTGGGAAAAGAGTTGTTGTGGTTGGCATTGGGAATTCTGGAGCAGATGTGGCTGGTGAGATCAGTAATGTTGCTGAACAGGTATGGCATTGTAAGCAGATTCTGTTCTTTGGTGTAACTTTGAAACCTGCAGAGTATGGAGAAGTACAGCACTGCACTGCTTTAGCAGTGGTATCTCAACCTTGACTGCTGGCTTTCCAGCATGGTTATGGATATTTTTTTCTTTGGACCATGTATGGGTTTAAGAGTACAGAAAACCAGAAAAATAATAGTCTTCCACATTGCATGCATTGGAGTCATGGAATAAGAGAGTCAAACTTGAGTCAGACAACCTGGCACTAAAAAGAGCAGCTACACTAGTGAGTTGGGAGTTTTCAAACAAATTAATTTTACAGGAAACACCAAAATTTTCTTTTAAAAATACAGTTTAAACAGAGAAAAAATACACTACTGATACATGGATATGTTGCTAAAAATAGAGCAGAAATGATGTGGGCTCCAACTGAGTGTGAGAAAATGAAGAACAGGAAAAGAGGAGTTATTTCTCCCTGTAGGGAAAGTTGTTGACCCCTAAGCAGTGAAGAGGGATCGCTTTCCATAATTCAAAATTTGTTTTCAGCTTTGATTGCAGATTTCCAAGAAGAATATCCAAGATTCCTAATACTTAAAAGTCTTCTGTTGTAGGACTCAGAGGTAGGGAACATATGGCCCACAGGTCAAAATCATTTGGTCTGGCCTAGGCAAGACTCAAAATTCAATAAATCTACAGCGGGGTAATTTTTAAGTCAATAATTTTGTATGGCCCATGAGGAATGGTATAAATATCCAGATAGTCTTTGGAAGGCAAAAGCTCCCCTCCCCCCACCACCCCAGCTAGGTGATGTTGAATCAGCCGTTCTGAGTGCTGTCCTGCCCAGGCCAGGCATTGTGTAGGAGGTGTCAGGCTCCGTGATCTGAGCCCTTACAGCCTGGTGATTTCAAGTAGTCTCCATTAAAGGACTCAAAATAGAAACTTCCTCAGACTATTGCCTCCACTTTTCATACTTCTTACGTTGAGTTTTTCATTTGTAAAGGTGCAAAAAAGTCCTAGGTGAATCTTTACATTGTATTTTTGCTGTTATCCCAGACTTTGTATCCAGATAGTTCTCCGTCAGTCTGCATTACAGAATGGTAAAGTTTAGAGAAAACATGGATATTAACTGGTAATTCCTAATACAATAACTTACTCATTTCACCTTTTTCTTTCACTTTTTGAGATATAAGAGATCCCAGATATCTAACCCTGCTATGGTAAATATTCAAATCAAAAGAGGAACAGGAGGAACAATAATTGAATTAAAAGAACTTTAAATAACTGGACCCAAGAAATGTGTCCATGGTTTGAGAGGAGGCAGGTCAGGCAACACGGCTCCCATGATGAGTGAAGTTCATCCCATCCCCTTGATTTAAAATAGACGCACCTGAGGCTCTGAGAGCAGCGCAGTAAGGAACGAAGTTGTTACTTGGCAACAACTTCTGTCTTACAGGTCTTCCTCAGCACAAGGCGAGGTGCATGGATATGGAACCGGGTTTGGGATAATGGAAATCCCATGGATACCATACTGTTCACCCGTTACAATAGGCTAATTGAAAAATTCTTGCCCACATTCATGATCAACAAATGGGCAGAGGATAAATTAAATGCAAGATTTAACCATGCCAATTATGGGCTCCAGCCTAAACACAGGTAAGGTCTAGGATTTTTTTAAAAAAACAAATATTGTATTTTAAATATTATTTATTTATTTGAATGAGAGAGAGAGATAGAGATCCTCCATCCACTGATTAACACCCCAAATGGCCGCAAAGTCCAAAGCTGGGCCAGGCCAAGGGCAGGAACCAAGAACTCCATCCTGGCCTCCAGGTCAATGGCAGGGGTCCAAGCACTTGAATCATTATTCATTGCATCACAAATGCATTAGCAGGGAGCCAGGTGGGAGTAGAGTTACTGGGACTTAACTCAGTCCTCCAGTGTGGGATATGGGTATTGTAGTTGGCAGTTTAGCCCCACTGCACCACAACTTCTGTCTTCCCTCTCCTTTTGAAAGATTTATTTATTTGAATGGCAGAGTGATAGAAATAAAGCAAATATTTTAGAATTACTAGCCTAGTTGGCAGAAGCTATTATCTTTATGTAACTCTAATTCTTGATACAGTTTAATTTGATTGGTAATATCCAAGTTATCTCTTCCCTACTAGTAGTTATTTGTCAGTCTATTCAAGTTTTTTTTTTTTTTTTAAGATGCAATGGACAGGGAGGGGAGAACTATAGACTTAAATACCTGTTTTATTTGTGATTCTGATCACATAACAGTGCAGTCTCCATTTCCTTTTTCATTGTCATCTGTCAACTCTATCCTGCCTGCTCAATCCTAAGTGCAAAATTGATTTTGTTGTCACCTTCAAACCTCCATCAATGGGACAATTTCAGTGTCTGTAGGCATGGCTTCCCACTACTTAGGAAGTGTAGTGTTTTGCCTTCCAAGTGCATTGGCCTCTTGCCCTACCACACTTGAGCCATCCGCACCACCCCAGAACCAGAGTGCATCTGGATGTCATTCCAAGACCTCTGAAATAGCAAACTCTTAACCTTACACTCTCACACCATTACACTCTGATGTCATCCAGTCCAGTTCACCTCTCATCTCCATTTGCCTGTTATTCTGCCCCCTTTCTTGATCCCATTCCCCCACCTGTCACTTAAAAGTTGATGTTACCATAAATCCATTCCTGGTCCTCACCTTCGCTCATTCTACACCTCTTCCCACACTAATGAAGAAATCTAGGCAAAAGATAATAAAGGCTTGAACCAAAGGAAGGGTAGTGAAAATTCATTTTAAAAAGTATCTGGGCCGGCGCCGCGGCTCACTAGGCTAATCCTCCGCCTAGCGGCGCCGGCACACCGGGTTCTAGTCCCGGTCGGGGCGCCGGATTCTGTCCCGGTTGCCCCTCTTCCAGGCCAGCCCTCTGCTGTGGCCAGGGAGTGCAGTGGAGGATGGCCCAGGTGCTTGGGCCCTGCACCCCATGGGAGACCAGGAAAAGCACCTGGCTCCTGGCTCCTGCCATCGGATCAGCGCGGTGCGCCGGCCGCAGCGCGCCGGCCGCGGCGGCCATTGGAGGGTGAACCAACGGCAAAGGAAGACCTTTCTCTCTGTCTCTCTCTCTCTCACTGTCCACTCTGCCTGTCAAAAAATAAAAAAAATAAAAAAAAATAAAAAAAAAAACCATACACACTCTTCATATTGCTGCTTCACAATTTTTGTTTTCTATATTTAAAACTATTCTGAAATAAATTGTTAAAGAGAAAAGTCATACAGCTGCATGGGGCCCTTGGGATACCCACATCCCATATGAGTGTCAGTTGGCATTTCGACCACTCTCCTTACAATCCAGCTCCCTGCTAATGTGCCAGGGAAGCAGTGGACTATGGCTGAAGTATTTGAGTCCATGTTGCTCACATGAAAGACCTGAATGGAGTTCCTACCTCCTGGCTTCAGCCAGGCCCAGTCCTAGTTATCTATTGTGGCCATTTGGGGAGTGAACCAGCATATGGAAGATCTCTCTCTCTCTCTCCTCCTGTGTGTGTGTGAGTTTGTGTGTGTGTATGTATATATATATATATATATATTGAAAGGAGGCTGGCACGGCGGCTCACTTGGCTAATCCTCTGCCTGTGGTGCCGGCACCCTAGGTTCTAGTCCTGGTTGGGGTGCCAGATTCTGTCCCAGTTGCTCCTCTTCCAGTCCAGCTCTCTGCTGTGGCCCGGGAAGGCAGAGGAGGATGGCCCAAGTGCTTGGGCCCTGCACCTGCATGGGAGACTAGGAGGAAGCACCTGGCTCCTGGCTTCGGATCGGTGCAGCGCACTGGCTGCAGCGCTCCAGCCATAGTGGCCATTTGCGGGGTAAACCAATGGAAGGAAGATCATTCTCTCTGTCTCTCTTTCTCTCTCTCACTGTCTAACTCTGCCTGTCAAAAGAAAAAAAAAAGGGATATATATGTGTGTGTGTATATACATATATATACACACATATATGTACACATATATACACATATATGTATATATACATACATATGTATACATACATATATATGCACATATGTATATATCCCTTTCAAATAAATAAATCTTTAAAAAATCATGCAGTAGCACCTGGTAGCCCCTTGAAAAATACTAATGACTGAACAGTGTTAATATTTACATGATTTCAAGTATAAATAGACATGTTAAAAATCAAAACACTTTATCCTTGGTAAAAACATAGCCAGCTAGACATGTATTGAGTGGTTAGCACAATTCAATCTTGTTGTTATGTCATTATTATAGTTTCATGGTTTAGGAAAAGGGGGCTGAACTATTACAAGACATGCCTGAGGTCTCCTGGCAGGGCCAATATTAAAGCTTTGTTTAACTCTGAAAATCAAGTTCTGAGCCAGTAAAAAGCAGTAAATTTATTGAAACATTCTGGTGGTTTCCTGAGAGCTTGCCCACCACAACTTCTTTACAAAGAAGATTGACACTCACTTATTGATATTGCACTCCTTGTGTTGCAGGTTTCTCAGCCATCAGTCTACTTTGAGTGACAATCTGCCCAACCACATCATTGCTGGAAGAGTGCTGGTGAAACCAAACGTGAAAGAGTTCACTGAGACCTCCGCCATCTTTGAGGATGGTACAGAAGAGAAAGTTGATGTTGTTATCTTTGCCACAGGCTACACATTTTCTTTCCCTTTCTTGGAGAGTGATCCAGAAATTCTGGACAGCCAGAATTCTAGGTTCAAATTTGTCTTCCCTCCTCAGCTAGAGAAGCCAACACTAGCTTTCATTGGCATCCTGCAGCCCATAGGAGCTACCATTCCCACATCAGAACTCCAGAGTCGATGGGTTGTACGTGTGTTCAAGGGTAAGTACCAGTCTTCTACAAGAACAAAGTGGGCTCTTGATTCTGAGTGAAGATTTTAAGTGCACTCAGAGGTTTTCCCTTCTGTGTATCTCCTCGCTTTATTCCATCAATGTGTCTTAAACTTCACCACCAGAAATTCATTACCAATGGATTCTCTAAAATTTTTATTTTTAATTTCTAAGAGGATCCTATTTAAATAAAGTCATACAAAGAATAAGAAAAGACATGCAAAATTACAATCAGGTTACATTTGAATATTCAGTACCCTGTACTTTCTTCCAGCAGAAAGCAAATTTATGGTAAGGCTTTATGGAAATGAAACTTGTAAGGTAGGAAAACAAACAGGGAGAAAATACCTATAAGCATATTTCAGAAGGGTGGTGAAGTTATTTCGCTTCTTCAGCCAACTCCAAGTATAAGACTCGTATTCTTGACTCATTCCCCAAGTCTTTACCCAAGTTGATGGTATTGAGCAAATCAAAATGGGTAACAGAAAGAAAGTAGAATTGTATGTGGGTTCAGAGTGTCAGGACAAATTGACTAAATGACACGGAGCCCTTTCCCTCACCATCCTAAATCATTTGAATCAAGTTCTCTCTGCTTAGATTTCCAAGAATCAGAATTCTATTTTCTTAGGAAAACTACTAGAGCGTCCTTTCCCGATGGGTCAGAATGGGACACAAAGTGCTGATCTCCTCTCTGTTCTGAGACATGGAATTCTAAATTAGGCAAGTCAGGAATTTATGAGGAGACTTCTGTTCACTGCGACCTGAACATCTATCCAGGTGGCTTGTGTTGTATCTGTATCGCACATCATACATGGTTTGAAGCCATGGCATTAGTCCCCCGTGAAGTCTTTTCTAATAACTCTTACTCTCACTCAAAATCTGCAGCACTGCTCTAGTTCAGGTATGTTGGCTTCCTTGTATATACTCTGCTTCTCTTTTTCTCCTGACAAGTATATATTTTCTTACTGAATATATGGGCACCAATAAATAGCACCAGTGGGTCATGAAAAGATGACAAATAGATGATACAACAGTGACCAGATCAGAGAGTAGTTAGATAATCACTTATTCGATTTTTACAAGTTAAACACACATTCCCTCACTCAACCATCAATCAGAATTTTTTTAAAAAGACATGACCAAAACTCAGAAGCTCCCCTCACACTCTTTCCCCATCTTGCTGTCCCCAGCACCACCATCCTAGCTACTCTCCTAATTTATAAAAGCAGCAAATAGTTTCACTTCTTTATCTGCATACAAATTGAATCATAGAATATGTACTTGGTTATGTTCAGCTTCTTTCATTGAACATATCTGTGAAATTCATCCATACATTACAGTCATTAATTTTCACTGCTATATGGTATTCCACATGCTTACCACTTGACAAAGGATATGAGTAAGTCCTTGCATGGCCATAACTTAGCCATTCTGTGTTGATAGACATTAACAGCTATTAAAAACAATTATGTCATGAATAAGGTAACCCATGCCTTCTGTTGAACATATACACACATTTCTGTTGGGTACATACCTAGGAGAATAATTGATACTTCCCCAGGTGTGTGTAAAATAGCAATTTAATGTGCACATGGCTTCTCTATCTGCAAGCCTCTCCCTTTCATGTTTTGCATACCTGTCCTCCAGATCAGATTTCGTAAGGCATTTGATAGCATTCATGAGCAGTACCCTATGGCTTGGAGATCTTCAGCTAAATTGAGGCTCCAGCTATCAACTCTGCCTTACTTGGAAATAAAGGGGAGATGTATGTAGGTGTTTACTGCTGTACCTTTCATGGGATACTTCTTTCACCTGGCAAACAGCCCAACCTATGACCGGGGAGACTCTCACATGAGAAATTTGTTTGGGCAGAGGCCCCTGGGATTCTTGTTAGACCAGTGTCCAGTTTATGTCACTCCTAAGCTTTGCTCTGGAGCTGGGAGCCTGAACTTGTGTTCTCCTGGAATCCCGGGGACTCCTCACTCCAGTTCCTGCGATGGCACACCCTCTCGACAGGAAATAAACAGCCCAAAAGTCCATTACAGTTCCTGGGCAGGGAGGGTGCCGTGAGTTGGGAGGGCAGTTCTCTGTCCCCAAGTCACACAAGACAGGAAAGAAGAATCATACAGAGAGAGCATGTCGACCAGAGGTATGTATACGGGATACACATATAGTAAGTCTATGTAGGAATGTGGATTTCTTTAAATTCACAGGTAAAGATCTGAATGACCCATTTAAAGGATGCAGTGGGAATGACCAGGAATCCAGTCTGTAAGTCAGAAGACATATTTCTAAGTCCTCACTCTGGCCCCTAGCTGGAGTCATTTGGACATGATGTCTACTTCTAGTAGCCAAGCAGCAGCCTTTGTTGTGCTGTTCCCTCTACACTGATGAAACCAGGAGGGGCGTAGTTTAGAAATCAATCTGCTATGTTCCCTTGACTTTACTGTGTCTTTGCCACCCTAAGCTTCCTTTATCATGTCCTCTGTCCTGCGAACAGGCACACAGGCACACATACACACCTTCTTTTTTCCTATCACTTGCTTTTCTTCTTACCAAATATAGTTACTTCACTCTTGGGATGTTTTCCATCACTGCATAGTTCGTGAATGCATAGTGACAAATGAATTTTGCCATTGCTCTGAGGTCTGAAAAAATAATTTTTGAGACATGAGCTGAGTGCCAAGATCTGTTCAGATAATATGAAACACATCTGAGGCAGTTGCTGTGGCATCTGAGGACCTCTGGGAAAGCAAAAAAGATGTCAAGGGGAATTCTTAATATCCAAGAGTTTTGATTGATGATTTAAAAGCAGAAACAACTCAAAACCTACTTCTCTTCTTTATTATTTTTAAATATTTATTTATTTGAAGGAGTTACAAAGAGAGAGAAAGGGAGAGACAAAGAGAGAGCGAGAGATCTTCCATCCCCTGCTTCACTTCTAACATAGTTGCAATGGCAGGAGGTGGCCAGTCCAAAGACAGGAGCCAGGGAGCTTCTCCTGGATCTCCCACATGGGTGCAGGGGCCCAAGCAATTGGGCCATCTTTTACTGTTTTCCCAAGCAATTAGCAGGGAGCTGGATAGGCAGTGGAGCAGCCAGGACTGGAACCAATATACATATGGGATGCCAGTGCTATAGGCAGCAGCTTTACCCACTACACCACAGCACTGGCTCCTCTACTTCTCTTTTTTTTTTTTTTTTTTTTTAAGATTTATTTATTTGCTTGAAAGTCAGAGTTACACAGAAACAGAAGGAGAGGCGGAGAGAGAGAGAAGTCTTTCATGCAATGGTTCACCCCCCCAATTGGCCGCAGTGGCCAGAGCTGTGCCGATCCGAAGCCAGGAGCCTGCAGCTTCTTCTGGGTCTCCCTCTCGGGTACAGGGACCAAAGGACTTGGGCCGTCTTCTACTGCTTCCCCAGGCCAGAGCAGAGAGCAGGATTGGAAATGGGGCAGCCGGGACTTGAACCGGCATCCATGTGGGATGCTGGCACTGCAGGCAGCAGCTTTACCCACTACACCACCACGCCAATCCCTCTACTTCTCTTAAGTGAAGGCTAGCCACCTGCTCTAAAAGGCTGCTCCTAGCAACCCAAGAATGATAGAAAAGAAAATGTCTTCCTTGGGAATTTTTAATAAAGGGATTTGTTTATGAGTTTGATAAAAACATGATTATTATAATTATTTCAAAATTATTTTTTTCATTTACTTGTCTCCCTCAGCATCCCTGACAGCCCTCAAATTTCCCTCTTTTCCTCAGGACTGCAAACACTACCCCCAGTGAGTGACATGATAGCTGACATCACCAGGAAGAGAAAGAAAATGGAAAAAGAGTAAGAAATTAATTATTGATTAAAGTGAACAAAATCCGCTTAGACAGAGCTATTTGGTTTCTCTACTTACATAGTTTACACCCACCTAAATAAATCTCCCAAGATAACTGTAGCTTAATGGTAGCACAGTGAAAAAATGTACATGAGACACATGTGAAAAATGCCTGGCTGTGGAACATAATTTCATCACTTGTTGAATAGCCACAGAATTATAAATTTATGCAACAAGGAGTCTCCAAAAGGGAGGACCAACAAGAAACATGGCGAGAGTTCTTTCATCCATTGGAAGAACTTAGCTCACAAAAGCTAAATCTGAACAAAAGAAGGTAACTTTTCAAATGTATAATCAAGTAACAGGTAGCTTAAGAAGATGCACTTTTATTTCAACTTATTTAACACCTACTCTGTGCACTTTATAATAAACTTACATTCTAAGAAAACCATTAGGGTAACTTTGGAAGAAATGATAGAGTAACATTATCACAATTTCATAGATAAATGGATAATATAGATGATAAAATAAGTAGGATATGTAAATATCACTTATGTTTTCCATGATCTTATATCTCTACTTAAGTTTATTCCTAACCCTAAACATTTCTTAGTTTTCAGGAATAAAGATTGCTTGATCATTGTGTTTTATTATTTTTTAATTTTAAAAATTTGACAGAGACAAATAGACAGCTTCCATCTACAGGTTCTCTCACCAAATGCCCACCATGGCTAGAGGTGAGCTGGGGCCAAAGCCAGAAACTAGGTTTGCAATCCACATGGGTGGCAGGAACTCAATTGCTGCCTCCCAGGGTGTATATTGGCAAGAAGCTGGAGTAAGAACGTGGAGCTGGGAACTAAACACAGGCAATCCCGTGTGGGATGCAAACATCTTGACCACTTGGCTGACTGCCTGCCCTTGATTATGATTAAACATTTAAATTCTATTGTATAGAAATTCATTTATAATGTTTTCAATTATATTCATAGATAAGATTATTTTCTCTCTATTTTCTCTCTTTGCTATCTATATTGGGTTATTAAATTTATATCAACCTTACAAAATAAATGAGAAAGATTTAGTGCTTCTGTGTAGTCAGAAACAAATAGGGTGGAGATTTCATGTTACTTGAAAATGTGAAATAAATCATTAATATACATATTGGATCTAGCACTTATTTTGGAAATTATTCTTAGATCACATTTTCCATTATTTACAGCACTGTTGATCTACTTCCATTGTTCTTCTGTCAAGTGTAAAAATATATTTGATTAGAAAATCATCATCATTGAATTTTGCATATTTTATCATGTAGTTATGCACATGCTAATTTTCAATTATTTTAAGCTCTCCCATACCTTTGTATAAAATCCCTTTCCTTTTTTTGTGTGTGTTTAGTTTTAGGTTCTCTCTTTTTTCTTATCTAAAGCTTCAAGTCTTTGTCAATTGTTTATTGTTATTGTTCAAGCAACCTCCTTTAAGATTTATTTATCAATTCCCCTTTTTCTCACATTCATGATTCCATCTCTAACCTTAATGAATGCCTTTTTACTGCTTTCCTTATCATGTTTTGTATTCTTTTTTAACTTCTTGATTTGGCTACTTGGTTCATTTACATTTTGTTATATTTTCTGTGAATAATACTAATTTATTTCTTCCCAGAGTTTTGATAGCTTTTAAATGATCTATAATTCCAGTTTTATTTCCTCCTTCACTCAAGTGATTTAGCAGAATTTCAGAGTATGTGGAACAAGTCATATAGAAATAAGCCAAAACGAATTGTTGACCCTCTAGGAGTATTCAAAATTTGTGTCCAGAGTTAAGAGATATTTCACATAGCATGGAAGCATAAAGTGAGTAATGGAGTTAACTCTCTTGTACTCAACTTACATGCCTCATCTACCGAGGTTTATATAATGGAATGAGATTCTGTGTCTGAAAGGTTGATCAATACCTAAGACGTTAGCCACTTACTCATTCAACATTTTCTCTCTGTATGTGACTCTACTGGGTGCTTTGGGAAATTTAGAGACATTAAGGATTCATATCCTGTGCTCAGAGATTCTTCTAAACACAGTAAGGCAAATGTATGAAATTAAGGTGGTCTGAGAAATAGAAGATAATGAAGTTAATAAACAGCGAAGTAAAGTCAAGTGGGAACTCAGAGAATAGTAACTGAAATCGGGTACAGGGTTTCTAATAGTCTCCTTCTTATTCCAGATTTGTGAAAAGCCCAAGACATGTACATCGAGTGCAGTATATCCACTACATGGATGAAATTGCTTCTGAATTAGGCGTCAAACCCAACCTGTTCTCTCTCTTCCTCTGGGATATGAGGCTGGCAAAGGAGATTTTCTTTGGGCCCTGCACCCCATATCAATACCGTCTACAGGGGCCAGGGAAATGGGATGGGGCCCGGCAAGCCATTCTCACTCAAAGAGAACGGATCCTCAAACCCCTGAAAACACGTGTAGTTGAACATCCTGTGCCTTTTTCCTCTAGCCTGCCTTGGGCCAAAAGTATCTGTGTTGTCTTTTTTCTCTTGGTTCCCGTTTTTGTCATCATACTAGTGATGTACAATTAAGGTCACAGTGATCTAGTTGTTTAAGGAATTAGAGAAGCACAACTCGTTTTTATTTCAATTGGATCAAAGTGAAGACAATTATACAGGAAAAGACATTTATTAGACTGACTAGCTCATAGATAGTTAAATGAAAACAAAATTACTCTAATAAAGATTCTTCCAAGTGATTTGTATGGAGAGATTTGAAATGCATATTTTGTTTTCACTTTATTCCAGAAGTAATTTGAAGTGTCTTACAAGTTTATACAAAATGTGACCAGTGGAGAGTAATTAAAAATGGGATGCAATTAAAAATCAAGGGTTGAGGCAAAATCGAATCAATAATAAAGCTCAGAAATGTGTCGTATTTATCGCAGAGAGAAAATGCATCTTTTCAATGCAAAATGTGACAGTCAACTCCTTGGCTAAGTGATCAAATGTTATTATCAATAGAAAGTCAATCTGAAGTTTTGCAGCACTTAATATTATGTAGTAAGAAGCCTAACATCACCTTTTACTACTGTTGCCAAAAATATTTCACTTGAATGTAATCATGAGAAAAAATCTTGCACTCTAAAGAAAAACCAAAGTCATAAAAAATTAAACTTATAAGGGCCAGAAAATGCTTCTATATTGATGAAGACCAAAGAGGCATAAAGACCAAATGTGACATTTGAGCATTGATTGACAGCTTTAATACAAACAGGGAACTTTTTATCATATGCTTACTTGATGTTTTTATTATATGGTATAATAAAATTATCATGGTTATACAGTAAAACACTATTATCTTTAGAAAACATATGCAAAAGTATAAGAGTATGGTGATATCTACAATTTACTTGCAAATGGTATAGAAAAAATGTGTTTATGTATGTGTGTGTGTGTAAAATAGACATAAAATAGGATGGACAAAAATTAACAACTTGTGATCTTAGGTGAAAGGTAAAACATATATATATATGTGTGTGTGTGTGTGTGTATATATATATATATATATGTTCATTGTACTAATACTTCAGTTCCTTTGTAAATTTGGGAATTACAAAATAAAAGTCCTTAAAAAACATATATAGCTATATCATTTCTATCTACAATGACATATATGTGCCATAGGTGGGTCACAAATTTGAGTTTATATTTTTTAAGAATTTGTTTTATTTGAAAGAATTAGAGAGAGAGAGAGAGAGAGAGAGATCTTCCATTCATTGGTTCAGTAAAAAAAAAATGGTAAAAGATAGGGCTCCTTGTTAGGACAGTAACAGGGAATTTTCTTGTACAACAGAAATGTTCAATAGTGTGGCTTGCTCAAATAATTTGACAATCATACGAGTATGTATGGTATCATACCTTGTTTGAGGGAAAAATAATGTAGACATTCTCAATAAGCCTTGATATAGTATTAGTTGGAAACAGAAATGAGCTTACTATTACTTTGAAAGTTATCTGCCTTAGTTTCATATGAACATTTTTATACTAAAGAATATGGAATCAAGATGGCAAATGGGCTACATATACAAAAATACAGGTTTTCAAAAATGTATTTGAAAGTCAGAAAGTCAGAGTGACACACCCACCTACAAACTTATACACACAGAGAGAGAGAGAGAGAGAGAGAGAGAGAGATTCCATTCACTGGTTCACTCCCCAGATGGCTATATGGCCAGGACGAGACAAAGCCAGGAATCAGGAACTTCACCTGAGTCTCCCACATGGGTGCAGGGGCCCAAAGCATCCTCCGCTGCTTTCCTAGGTGCATTAGCAGGGAGCTGGGTTGGAAATGGAGTAACTGGGACTCGAATTGATGCCCATATGGGATGCTGGTGTTACAGGTGGCAGCTTTACCCAGTACATCATGACACTGGCTCCCAAAATGTGGTTTTTAAAAAGTGAATATTTATTAATGTAACCACTTTCTTGAGTGTTTATTGGATGGGTCATACTATTTTAAACCTCTTCAGGCATTCAGATACAGGATGCAGATGTCTTAATCAGTAGGCTATATGCCCACCACAATTGCTCTGTTTTCATTTATCTCATACGGCTTCTGGTTTGTTTTCTAAGTTTTCTTTTTAGGTTTACTTAACAAAAAATTAAACTCAGGGATGGATGTTTGGCATAGTAGTTGAGATACTGATCAAGATACCCACATCCATATCAGAGCATCTGAGTTCTACTCCTGGCTCTGGCTCCTGATTCCAGCTTTGTGTTTATGTAGACCCTGGGGGACAGTGGTGAAGTCCATGTAATGAGTCCCTGTCACCCCACGTAGGAGACCTGGGTTGAGTACTTGGCTCCCAGATTTGGACCTCAGGCTATTGTAGGCATTTGGCAGAGTGAACCAGAAGATGGTCGGGCATGGTTTCTATCTATCTGTCTCTCTGTTTATCTCTCTCACACTTTGCCTCTCAAAAATTTTTTCAAAACAGACAAACTCAAGGGCCTGTGCTATGGTGCAGTGGGTTAAGCCACCACCTGCAGTGCTGGCATCCCAAATGGGAGCTGATTCAAGTCCTGGCTGCTCCACTTCAGATCCAGCTCCCTGCTAATGTGCCTGGGAAATCAGAAGATGGCCCAATCCCTTGGCCCCTGCACCCACTTAGGAGACCAGAAGAAGCTCTTGGCTCCTGGCTTCCATCTGGCTCAGCGCTCGCCATTGTGGCCATGTAGGGAGTGAACCAATAAATGGTGTCAGATTCTCTTATCAGAACATAAGCCTAAGAACAGGTTGATTTGCCCAGCTTCCAGTCAATTTCCCAGTGTCTAGTCATTATTCACATATTTCAGAAGCTTTACCTGACGATGTGTTTTCCTACTTCCAACATCTGATTCATTGATAAGCTGAATCTCAGAGCACATGTAAAGCTGCAGGCCCAATACAGGTCCCTGTTTTGCTCCTCTTGCAAGGCTTTGCTTTTGGAAATTCCATCTCCAAGGACATCATCCTCATTCCAAACTCCCCCCTGGCTTCCTAGCACTCCACCACCCTTAGTCTGAGCCCACTTTTCCGAGAATCGTAGTTAATGACTCAGGTAGGAAAAGGAGAGTGATGCCTCAGAGAGCATCTCCGACCCGTGATCCAGAGCTCCCAGGTCTCTGAGTCAGAGCAGCAAATGGAGCAGGGATGCCTAAAGCCAAGCAATTGCCGTTCTAAATAAAGTCCTGGGCCAGCGCGGTGGCGTGGTGGGTAAAGCCCCCACCCACGGTGATGTCAGAATTCTATATGGGCACCGGTTTGATTGCTGGCTGTTTTACTTCTGATCCAGCTCCCTACTAATGGCCTGGGAAGAGCAACGGAAGATGGTCCAAGTGCTTGAGCTTCTGCACCCAAGTGGGAGACCCAGAAACTCCTGACTCCCAGCTCCTGGCTTCAGCTGGCTCAGGGCTGGCCATTGCAGCCATCTGGGGAGTGAACCAACAGATGGAAGATCTCCCTCTCTTTCTGTGTCTCCTTCTCTGTGTTACTCTGATTTTCAAATAAATAAATAAACAAATATTTTAAAATAAATAAATAGTCTTATTGTGCTATTAGCTCTGTCATTAGGATAACTTCATCTTTCATAATTTATTTGCAAATGCCTTTTTGATGTATTTTCATCCATAAAAGTAGTATTTTAATATTTAAATATTACATCAAAAATACAAGTACTATATGAAATTCCTTAAATGGGTTTCAAGTGTGCTGTCTGAGACTTCATTGAATAAAGTCACCCTTAACTGTTCCTCCACATTCAATTTCCAAAACTGTGGGCTGTAAGAGGTGTCTAGACACAAAGCATTGCAGAAATCCTGATGCTGTAGACAGACTGACCCAGCTCCAAATGGAGATGCACGGGCAACAGAAGCCCCCCGAACTCACATAATTCCCCTAAAAGTTTATCCAAGTTAAGACAGGAAAAAAAATCCCACAAAAAGGGACTTTTAAACTTTTTAAAACTTCCCATACTTGTTACTTTTTAAAATAGTCAGGCATGCAGTTTTCTGAATCCAAGTGCTTCCGAATAGTTGTAGCTCTGTAGGTATGCTCACCAAAAATGTTAATTTTGGTCACAAATTGTTTCATGAAAGTTAAAAAACACAAGTTTGTCAAACTGACTCTAGAAATAAAAGTTTTACTAGAAATAAAAGTTTTACTAGAAATGACAATGTGAGTCAAGCCTTCAGTGCCCTTTCCCAGCCCAGAGGTGTTTATTTGAGCAGCAGGAGCAGTGGGGCCGGGGACCAGCTAAGGAGCAGTCTGCCGCCATTGGTCCTCTTGATGCCTTAGACACCACAGGGTAAAGAAATGACCCAAGGTGTTTGTAGAGCCAGAGTTGGATACGGACTCCAGGGCTCTTTCAGGATGGAGAAACCAACAGACTTGATTAGGAAGCCCCAAATGAATATGTACAATAAGATGGGTGTTTTGGAGAATACCTTGGTCCACTTTGGAGAGAGCTTCTAGAGACAAGTGAATCCTTTTATAGGGCTTAAACATCTTCACTGTCTCTTCTTTCTCAGACAGATGCGCTCAATGAAAGCTCAACCTCCCAGCTAAATCAATAAATCACTCCCATGGGCAGGCTCATGCTTGAGGGCTGTAAATAAGTAAGAAGTGTTTTAAGTTGTGTATTTCTTATGTGGATTTCTCTCAATCTTTGAAGGAATCCGTTTCAAAATAATGACACTTAGAAATATGGAGCAATTTGAGACAGGGACGAATTACTCCACACAATGCTGTTTAGATGCCAGAAGCATAACAATTCCTTTCCCTTTGAAGAGAAACAGATCTGTGCAGCAGGCAGGCCTGAGCACCACACCGACTAGCAATTAAAACTCAGGAACTCCCAGAGTAGACCCTGTGGTTCCAGTTGCACATCTGCACTGGCACTGTTTCCAAAAGCTTAAAGGAAATCCTAATCATTCAGGAAATGTGCCCATGTGGCTCCAGTACTGCAGACGTGGGGCATCAGCTGCCCACACAGTCCACTAAGTCTCAAGGTCATGCCAAGGGCAATGATTACCCTGAACTTACTAGTTGC